AAGAATAAACACACAGAAAGGGCAGGGAACGAGATGTCTGGAAAACATAAATATGAAAGTCAGCGCTCATCCAGATGCTATTATCAGCACTAGTGTGGCTTTTGCAAGCAGATGCTTTGGGAGGAACAGTTGTTTTGGAAGTTGAGCTATGGCTTTGGGTCAGCACTGGGGAGCAAGAAAGTGCAGAGCAGGGCAGGGGACAGAAAGCAGCTCCTCAGCCTCTCTGTGCTGAGCACCCGTTCACACGCTCTGTGCTCGGGTGATTTCCTGCACTCGGGTGATTTCCTCCCCCAAGGCTGGCTGATGGTATCTGCTGCAGAGCAGAGCATGCAGAAGTCCCAAGCACGCAGAGCTGCTCCTTGCAGTGACATTAGCATTGCAGTGACCGCGTTCACCTCAATAACTGATTTCCTGAGTAGGAAAGCCAGGAGCATGGACCTGTGGCCACAGGGCTACTCTTCTTAGGGCCTCCAGAACATCACATGTGACTAACGGGACAACAAAAGCTGAGGTTGTATATGCCTTTCTGGCTGGCACGGGAGAGGGCTACATACAGAGTATGATAAGGAAGCAGGCTTGCCCAGTATCTCTAGATCCAGTTTAGGGGAGGCTTTTAAATGCAGCTGTGTGCATGTACTTGTGGCCCTGAAAGGAGGCTGTGCTGTAAGGCTGGACCTTGAGCTCCTCACAATTGGACACAAGCCATCAAAGACTAAAAATGTATTGAAAGAAGAGATAAGCAAAAAAAAATATATCAAGATTTTCTGGGAAGAGCTGAAATGTGAACAGCACAGAACTGCTTTTGGGTCTGATAACCCACAGAGATACGAAGGCTACTGAACGAGCCCTCAGTCTGACCTGCTGAAAGAGATACTGTAATTCCAGACCCCTGCGTATACGGCACAGCAATCACTGTGCGGGTGTATTTATACACTGCCATGTGTAAATCACGAATTCAGGAGTGGCAGGATGGAGAAAGTAACCCCACGTTATATTTAACCCTGGGTGTGTGCTACAGGGCAGGGTGTGGTGGCCAAGCAGCTGAGGCATCCTGCTGTGGATCCCAAAGCAGGGGGTTGAGCCTGGCCCTGGGCTCATGCCAAGCTTTCCTTGGTCAGTGCAGCTGCAGCGAAATCTGTGGTTGTTCGAGGCAGAGAAGCGATACTAGCAACTGCCCTCCTGTGCACGCCGTCAGCCTCCCAGACTGGCAGCTCCAGCTGTGCTAGCGGCACAGGCTGCCCAAAGGCAGGCAGGACTTTGATTTTGACCTGCTTAGATGCAGGCACTACTATAAAAAGGAAGCACAGAAATATGTGCACAATAAAACATCGCTGAGAACTTTCTGCTGTTATCACAAATCTTACCTCCTGCTTCCTACCCATTCATGCACTCTGGTCCTTGTTTTTAACTTCCCTATGTCTTGCTCAGCCTTAAAGATCCCGCTCCCTGATCTCTAGTGCTTTCCTTTTAAAGCCTTTGGGAACAGATTTGTGGGTAGATCTGTTCTAAACATTTCCTTAAACATGCTGAACCCAGGACGTTTTTGGCTGGTTCTCACAGCACCATGCACCCCTGTGCTTTGTGTGAGCTACCAGAACAACCCTCCCTGCCCCCTGCCTCCGGAAGCTGGCGGTACCTGGTACATGATGGAGGATGGAGGCGGTTCGATGCATGGCTGCTGGTCTGGCAGAGGCAGCTCCTCCAGCAAGTCCACATTGGACAAGGCATCCTCTAGCGTGACGTGAGTGGTCATGGTTCTGGATGTTCAGTTTCCACGCTAAATCCAAAGGAAAGGAGAGGGTGATAGACAGACAGACAGCAGCCAGAAGACTGAGTGGGAAAGTGCCAAAGGACCAAACCGGAACCACAACTGGCTGGCACTGCAGGAGACATGATCCTGGTTTATCTCGTTTTCCTTTTCTTGTGTGTTTAACCCACATCTCCATGTCATCTCTCCTCCCGTGATTCGGCAGCAGAGTAGGAATGCAGAATAAGAGGAATACAACTACCCACCCATGCCCCTAACTCTATGCAAAGCTGTTTAAGACAGAGCACAGCTGGGTGCTGCAGTGCAGCTTTAGCAGCCCCAAGTGAAAGCATGTGCTCCAAAATGCAAAGCAGCGCTATCAAAAATACCTCTCGAAACAGCACGATTAGAAAAGTATGACCGATCCTGACACTCACATGCTCTCCATCTCACACACATGAACGGCGCTGGAAACTGTAAGCAATAAATTGCATTGCCAAAGGTGAACCGGAAAGGATCGAGTGCTGCGCAGGCAGGCTGTGGCACTGCAAGCAGCAAAAAAAGAAGTTGCTGTTAAAAATTTTCCCTGTTTTTACCACACACAGAGCATTCCCTGGCCAGTCCCAGCTTGCTGTGGAGCTGCCAACGGTGCCAGTTGCACACAAAATAAAAAGCAAAGGGAAAATTTTCTGAAAGTTCACTGGCACTTACCCTAATGGGAACCACAGGACAAACCTCTATGTCCCTTATCTCCTTTGCCATTCACCTTTGCTGTAAGAGCACAGGCACGGAGGGACGGCTGCTGTCACCCAGGCTGAGCGCTTGTATAACCACAGCCACAGGGCTTCCCCGGTTAATACCTAATCCCTGTGCAATGGCTGTGGCCGTCCTAGAGTGTGCGTCTTCTAGAAAAACACCCTGCTGCATTTAAACATTTGCAGAGGGAGAACTTACTTTAAATATTGACATGTCATTCGATTAGCAAATCACCGCCCCCAGTGCTTTTTTCCCCTACTCAGAGCCTGTCTATTTTCAAATGTGAGCTTTATCATTCTAATCTGCAAGACAGTAGAGCTCTCTATTATCAACGTTCCTATAAAGATACTCACATGTTTTAATAAAACACCCTGCAACCTTAACTTTGTCTCAGGCAAGCGGATTGAGCTCTTTGCCTGCCTTGTTACAGAGCATATTTTCCAATCCTTTAATCATCTCTTTGGCTTTTCTCTAAGCTTGATCCAATTTTGCAACTTTTTTGCTGAAGTGCAGACACTGTAGCAGGACACGGGGCTCCAGCAGAGTCTGCACAAGCACCAGATACAACAGCAACGTAACTTCCCTCCTTGCGTACAGTCACACCAGTTCCTTTGGTCACAACAGCATCTCTACAGGTGCTCATTCAGCCGATTATCTGCTACAAACCCCTTAGGTCCTTTTCTTTTTTTTTTGTCAGCTGAGTCACTGTTTCCAAGAATATAAGTTTGCTTTTCATTTCCAGCACTGGGAGCATGGAAGGACAATGGCTTCGAGATGTCCATAGATAGACACACACGCACCCTGCACGCTGTGTGCAGTCCTGGGGCAGCTTCGTGTTGGGTGATGAGAGGGACGAGTCTGCGGCTGTGCCTCTCTCATCACTGCTGCTGCCTGCACGCATGGGATGCAAGAATATGTATGAGCCTGGTAAAACCCATTCCACCTCCACAAATGCCTCCCTGAGGTACCAGGTAGCAGAGAAACCGGCTCGGTTATACCTGCACCACGAAATAAGTGCCTGGGAAAAAAAAATCTCAAAAAAAAATCAAATTTCTGTTTCCTTCTTCGCTCCTCTTTGCTAAAATGGTTTCCTGTCACAAATTGTAGCAACTGTCAAAACCAGACATTAGGTCCCAGCTTGCCGCAGGCAGAAGCAGCTTCCTCCCTGCCTGCGAGTGCCGTGCCCTGCACCACACCAGGCAGGTGGCCCAACTCGCCCAGCCCCATGGACCTCCTCCGCTGCCCACTGCTCTTCACCACCATCCTCCAGCACCTCAAGACTCACCACTGGGCTCCCAGAGCAACACCCCTGGTACTCACATGTGCTTCATTACATACTTCAGGCTTGGGAAGACAAAACCCCTTCATTTTATAGCTTTGAGGGCTGTGGCTGTTTATTTGGGTTCCTTTCTCATTTTTCTGTAAGTCAAACTCTGCGGCCATTTGTGCAAGGTGTTGGCAGTTTGCTGTAATCAAAGACACTTCCCCAATAACCCTGTGACACCCAAAGAACCCAGCAACTCAAGGGACAAAATTATTTTTCTGTTTGGGCCGCATCAGGAGATATGGTTACAAATACAGCATCAGGGTCTTGCTGTGCCAGGCAGAGCACAAACCTGCAAGACTAAGCCAGTTCCTGCCCCACAGATCTTGTGCTCAAATAGAGGAAGAGAGGCAGCGTGTAGAAATACATGAACAGAAAAGGAAGCGCCAAGCCACAGTGAGCAAGAGATGTAATCAGCTGTTGGCCCACTCCTTGCTTTGCCATGACTGAGCAGAGTGTAGAATCCAGATGAAGATGGAAAAGTGACACAGACTTTGTGGGTTTAGCAGATGAGTCTTTGTGGGGATGCCCAATTTCAATTCTATGCTTTCTGAAGCCCAAGAGCAAAACCAATGGAGGCCACGGGGAAAATCATGGTCTGTCAGGACTTTCCCTGGGTCTCGTGCCCATAGCATGCTCCTGCACAGTGATATCACAGCCAGAGCATGTGATGGCGGGTTACTTGTCCAGGGCTGGCAGACCTTGCTTCTCACCCCAGATCATCCAGAAGGAACAGCCTCGAGCGATCCCTTCTCTGCCTGTGCCATGGCTCCTCACCTGCTCCTTGAGGTGGCTGCAGGGCTGGTGGGGACCCTGCTCTTGGTTGGGCTCCCCTGTGGTAAGCATCTGCAGTCAGCGGGGCTGAGCACTGGTACAAAGGCTGGAGAAGGCTCTGAAGGCACCAGCGAATGCTTGGCCCAGTACATGGGGCACTGCATGGTGTCTCCCCACCGTGGAGGCTGCTCAGGAGAGCTGAAAGGGGAGGTCCCATTGCCACTCTCCCTCATCTTCCTGCAAAAACATTTCTAATACCGATGTGCTGGGGCTGCCCTGGCAAATCCAGCCTCATCCTCTTGGTCCAGCGATGAGGGGGGAAGCTATCAGGTGACACAGCAGCAACCTAGTGGCTCCAGCCCAGGGCAGTTGGGGAACCCTGGGGACATGCATCAAAAAGTTCTCATTGAGCCTTAACCACCATCCATCACCTGAGCCTTGGGGCAGGGGCGGAAGAGTAGAGTCAGCCCATGTTGGGGGTTTGCCAGCAGCGCTTTGGCACATGTGACTATGGGGCTGGGGGCTGCACCACTCAGGAAGCAGAACAGCAGCCTGCCCAGGAACGGGGCACAGTGGGGCGAGGTGTTCCCTCGCACACAGGAAGCACATCCTGCCTGCAGGGACACAAACACAGCCACGCAGGCTGATGGGCACCATCTCACAAAACTATTTTCTTCTCCATATCCCACCGCTGGTCAGAGAAGCTGAAGTCTCTCTGGTCTTATGCATCTTGGCAAAACTGAACGTGAGCCTGGCAGAAGCCAACCCCACCTCAGAAAGAAATGCAGCCACTGGGCTGATTACCTCTTCTGCTAGTGAGCATCAGTATTAACAAATACTGACCACTCTTTGTGCCCATCTGCTGCAGAAACTTCCTCCCTGCATCGCACATTTCAATTGCAACCTTCTTTGGCCATCTCTTACACCTTCTAAAGCCAAATGACCTCACTGAGGCACCGTGGCTTGTGGACACCACAGGGAGCTGGCTGTGCAGTGGTCCACACATAGTGGGCGGCCCCACCACCCTAACATCAAAATTAAGAGTTCTTGACACGGTTGACTCTGTTGTGGCAGCATCCTAAGGGCCAGATGTAAGAGAGAGAATAGAAAGGCTTTGAAAAGAAGTGATGATGGACACACCTTATATCTGAACTTGCAGGCCTGGTCCTACCCTCCCCACTGAAATGCTTGCCCAGAACTTGCCCAGAAGTATTGGTGCAACATCATCTTCTTTGCAGCAAGAGGAACAAAGACATCTTTATTGTTAGAGCAGCTTGGGGAAACAAAGGAAGACTTTTAAAAGCGGGGCCATAATGAATATGTTGCAAGCATGTGCGCTCGGCTTCGAAGCTGCACAGCCAAGAGCTCTAGGGAAGTGGCACGGGCTGTTTCGGATTTTCAGCTTGAATGTCCTGCAGCAGACATCCACACTGGAGCTGCAGTAGCCACTGAGAGCAGGAAGGGAGTCAAGAAACAATGGGAATTGTCCAGGAGATTGGCAGTAAGACAGGGTCCAAGCCCTGCAAGCCTGGGGTGAGATGAGCAGCAAAATGACTTTTGTTGTGGAAGTGGCAATGTGGAGAAGGAGGACAAACTTCTGGTCACCTCCTGAGGATCTGAGATTCTTCTCCAACTCTGATGCCCAGTCCCTGCATAACCTGGGAAAGCCATTTAATTTATTTTTGCCCCTCTGATAACGCTTCTCCCTCTTACTCCAAAATAGCATCTAACCTGTGGTCAGGAACCATCCTGGCCCAAAAAGCACCCTGGCAGACTGATGTCCCGGGTACATAAAAGCAAAGCATTTCTGATACCCACTACCTCAAAGCAAGAGGATGATAAATGCTCCTAGCCATCAATGTATTTTTAGTCAAGAAGAATAATTTCAGGGTGCAAAAAGCTCAGTTTGACTCTTGCCTAAAATGCACCGGATTAAAGTCCCCTGTGTTTTAGCATACATGTCATCAACCTCTTCTCACATGCTGTAAGAATTACTTGTAATTGCAACAACCACCACAGCCAGGAGGTACTTTGCAGGGGCAAATAAACACAGCCAGGATAAGCAAGGCTGGCAGAGCTGGGCTCCTGCCATACACAGTCACAGATGTTAACGACCATGAAATCACTCTTCCCATCAAAATAAGAGGCCAAA